AAGGCTTGACTCAAACCAAACTGCCTCGAAAAAAGTTGGGGGTAATAGGTGACAAGCTTAAAATCCTTGGAGTGAAAACCCGATACTAATACATCCTGAGTCAAATAATTACTCCACACGTCGACCAGCTCTGATTGTAACCCAGGAGTTAAGGCAGGGAATTTGGACTTAAACCAAGATGGTCCTCGAAGTTGGTCACTTATTCGTCCAAGATTCATAGTAAAAGGAGCCAAAGTCGAATCAAAATGAAACCTAGTTAACAAAAATCTAAGGTATTTACGGTAAGTCACCTCGTCGGATTTGTAATGAGGATGTCGAGAAGATAATCGAGCACCCTCTAAATTTTCACTTGGGGGGATGTTGGAGGTTGGGGGGAGGATACTCTCAAAAATCGAATTTAGCCATAATTGGATAAACCAAATGGGGCCCGAAAAATTTTCTGAAGCTCTAGGGGTATTCAAAATCTCGACGGCCTCATCGAAAGCAGTATATACATGGGCTAACAAAAATTTGGCTAAACAAATTCTAGGCTGGCCGATGTGAAGGAGATAGGCAAGGTTATATAGGTGGGATGAAATTTGGATGGATCGGGGGCAGAAGACGTGAGTGCACAACCAGTATACCAAGAAGGCAACGTGCTCCTCATCAGAAACAGAAACTGTTGGATCATCGATAAAATGCTTCTCGAGAAAGTGACCATAGGCTTTCGATTCCCAATCGATTTTGGACCTTAGGGAATTATCCGAAGGAAAAGCACCCTTATAATACTTCTCCCCTGTGGGCTTCAAACCAGTAATTGCAGCGACTTCGAAAAGGATGGGCGAAAGGGGACCACAAGGGAGTTCTAACGCATGCAGGTCCTTATTCCACAAATGTACAGCAGACAGAAACATAGCCATATCCAAAAATGACAAATCGCATCGAGACAAATGCAAAAAATCGAAAATCCCCACATCTCTCCAATGGTTCCCAAACTTAGTCTTAACCCTATCAAACCACCTAATGTACAAGGGTTTTTTGGAGGGGGGGCCCGTGCGGTATACTTTAGATACAACAACATTCAGAAAGTCAGTTCGAACCTCAGATTGATGAATAAGAGCCTGGCTCTTTGAAGAAAGATTGAAGGAAGAAAAAGATCCACCACAAGATCAGATAGGACCCCCAAAAGCAAAATTTACATCATCAGCAATGTAAGGGATGAGTACCTACGTCTCAGCGACCTTCTGAGAAGCTTCCTCCATTAGAGGAACCGGAGCAAATTTCTTGTTGTTGATCTCCAGCAGGTTAGAGGCCAACGAGGGAAGTGGTGGGGCTGAAAAATCAAAAGATTTGGAAGAGGTTGCCATTTCAAGAGAGTAGAGGAAAACAGAGGATAGAAGGTGAGGGTGCAAGGTTGAGGACAAAGGCGCAAGGTAGAAGATGAAGTTGCAAAGGAGGAGTAAAAGTTCGCGTAAAAACCAGGGTAAAAGACCAACAAAGTGTTTAAAGGAGCGAAGGGCAATTAATGTGGCGTGTACAGTAAGGCAATAGACTGATGTGATGGTGACATAAAGCAGAAAGAAACCTAAAACCCTGAAAAACCCCAGAAACCCTAAAACCTAAGTTATTGTGGGCCCCCAACACGCGAAGGCGGGAATCATGTTGAAAGAATATAAACAGAAACTATTTATATTCTTCCAAGGGGGCATTTTGTTAGTGGGAAATCGATAAAGCGATCGAGAAATAAATGGGAGCAAAAATCGAGAACCATTTTGATTGAATTAAAGACTGATAAATCGAAAGATAGTTGGAAAATACGTTCGACGACCATGTGACAATATAAGCGAGAATTAGAATCGAGAATCAAAAGAAGAATGTTTAATATCCGTTAGTGAATGAAATCGAGAAATCAGAATTATGTAATGTTAAGGATAAGGGAAAGCAAAGGCAAGTCAAAGTTCTCGAGATCAAGAGATCAAAATCAAGAGGAAGGCTAACCTGCGTGGATATCGAAATCCCGGCTAGGTCATAAAGAGAGGAACAGTTAAACACGCATCGAAGATCATGGGAACGTGGGTGCACTTTTAATACCTAAGAAGAAACTGCAACGTGCACGTAAGATGTGGTAGCAGTTTTCGTTAACTGCTCCTAAGAGGTTACTTGCTGAAAGGATGCCCTATAAATAGAGTGGAGGATGAAGGAGAGGGGGGTGGAAATTGGCAGAGAGAGTAGGAATACTAGTGAGAAGTTTACCGGAGAACGACGAACATCATGAAGTTTCTGGCGATCTATTTTTTCATGTTCATTGATTTTCTTTACCGCTTTCTTTATTTTCCCTTGTAATTTACTTTGATGCAGTTTATGTTTTGCAACTTTAAGTTTCTGTATTTTCGATTCCTTGTCATTTCCCTTTAATGAAAGTTAAGTTTCTGCGTTTAAGTTCCTTGTCATTTATATTAACGCAATTTCGATTTCCTGCTGTTTACATTTCTGAGATTTCGATTACTTGTCATTTACCGTTTGTGCAATTTCGATTTCCTGTTATTCTTTTTCTTACAATTTCGATTTCCTGTTATTCTTTTTCTTACAATTTCGATTTTTCGTTGTCTATTTTTCTGCAAAGTTAGATTTTTGTTTATTTACAATCCTGCAATTTTCGATTCCTTGCCATTTACATTTAATGCAATTTTGAGGTTTCTGCACTTTACATTATCTGCAATTTAATATTTCTTCGCAGCTTTATATTCTGTACTACTTTTCGATTTGACATTTTACTGCTTTCTTTATTTCAAGTGCTTTAAATACAAAATACCAAAAATTACACTTGTGATTTGCACTTTAAGTAGCGATGTTTGCATTCCTAAGATTCTCGATTCTCATGCATTTTTCGATTGAAAACTAGTTGCTAGCCTAAGTAAAAAAAATCTACGTGGTTGGAATTTGGTTAGAACAAAATTCCCTAGAAATCAAAATCGATCAAAATTCCACCAGAAACACTAAGATAACAATTGTTTCATAAAATTGTTTAAAACTTCAATTTTGTTTCAAAATAATCGTCTCGTTCAATTAAAAGTGCCCATTCAAAATATTTAATTGATTTTATTATCTTTTTCATTTTTAAATTTGAGGTAAATATGGTTTTGATCATCTAAATTTAAAACAAAAAGGCACAATTTTCATTCTCAATTCTTAAAAAAAAAAATCATATTTTTACTCCTGAAACATTAAATTGAGGATTAAAATAATGTTTCTAAACCATTTAGTTTGGATTACAATTACCTTAATGATATAAATATATAAAAATTTCAATATAATATTCCTGTAATTATAAAAAAGTTAAATGGCATTTTTTTTTATAATTTTACATCTAATAATATTTTTTATTACTATAAAAAATTAATTGAAGGATTAAATTTATAATTTTAAAAATTTGAATACTAATTAATTAAGTTTTTAAATATAAGGATAGAAACTAATTTAAAAAAAAATACAATTATAAAAACATATTTAACACATAAATAAATTATTATGTTATATAAAATAAAAATTTGTATAAAATTTATTTCTTTTGATCAAAATATATATTCATTTATGAATTCAATCAATATGATAATTATATAACTTATTTTTATGAATTTAAAATAAACAATTTAAGAGCATATCTCTGGTGTTCACTGTTACAAGCAACATATTTTCACTTCATAGTTTTTGTCATGTGACTTTTAAGTCACTCATTAAAATATACAAACATTTTTACTTGAAATGATAGTAAATTTATAAGATATTTTAAATTTTTATAAAGATTATTTTTAAAAAAATTGTATAAACTAATTACTTTTAAAATATTATAAGGTAAAAATTAAAACTAAAATAATTTAGAGAAATAAAAAAAATATTTTAACAAAATATCGTATATCATTATTATAACATTGTTGTTATTTTGTAAATAAAATAAAAAATATAATTATTTCTATCTTTATTATTTCCGTCAAAGATTGATTATCAGAAAATATTTAAGCAAACCTTTTTTTTATGATAGTTTTTTTTTTAATTATTTCTCATTTTTCTTGTTTCAGCAACTTTGATTGTTACGTAAACCATCTCCAACAATTCCTTTCTTATAAGATAATGTACTTCATTAAGTAACGAGTTAACTACTCTATATTTGGAGATGCTAATAATAATATATTTATTTATGAATTAAATCAATAGGATAATTAAATAAGATATTTTTTTGAAATAAAAATTAAAAAATTAATAATAATAATAATAATAATAATAATAATAATAATAATAATAATAAATAACGAATAAAATGATAAACACTTAACAAAACCTTATTTTTCTTATTTTATAACATATAATATGGATAATATATTAATAAATTTTAATTAAAATTAACACAGATTTTATTTTACTTTACCCTTAAAAAAATTATTTAATCTATTGTATTTAAAGAAATTATCTTTTATAATTACTTTTGGTACCATGGGTCACAGTAAAAATGTAATCTATATTTATGTTATATATTTTTTCCTCCATTTCCTTTAGTTATACGATTCACTCATTTTTTTTCCTCTCGAATATAAAATAATAAATAAAAATTATAAAAAATGTCATTTCTTCCATATATTTGTTTTTTTCAATTTTTTTCTCACCTTAAAACATGATTTCACGTTTATTTATCTTTAATAATTTATACTTTTAATAACAATATTTATATTTTAAAATTAATATATATATATATATATATACTAATTTTAATAAATTAAAATAAAATACATAGTAAAAATACACATTTGCGCATGTGGTAAATGTACTTAAAAATAAGTATCCATTCAATTATTTCAATCACAATACTCAACACTAATACATAGGGTTTTACTTTATTACATACAGTCTACAAACCGCACTCCTACTAATGGGCCGAAGCCCAATCCGTTCTATCGGAAGCTGATTACAAATTTCCAATTCCCTTATCTATCCGCGCGTGGAGTGAGCGAGCACATACAGGGGCAGATATGGCGTTAGAGCAAGCAGTATCGTCGTCCACGACCTCGAGAAACGTGCTCGTCTTCCCCAAAACCCTCGTTTCAAAACCCCACTTCCAAGTCGCTTCTTCTCCCTCCTGGAGAACGAGGCGCTGGAAAGGGCTGGGAAGCTTGAAGTGCTCCATAGCCGCGACGCCTTACCCTAAGCCCTCCGAGATTCCGTGGCAGAAGGAGCTCTGCAACTCCGTCAATCTTATCGGCTTAGTTGCCGTCCCCGTCGAAATTAAGCACCTCCCCTCCGGCAAGGTCGTCGCCTGGACCAGCCTGTCCGTCAAGAAAAGCGCCACGCAAACTTCGTTGATAAACCTTACTTTCTGGGACGATCTCGCGCTTGCCGCTTCCCAGCATCTCCAGAAAGGTCACCAAATTCACGTTTCCGGTCGCCTCATAACCGACACCGTCGAAAGCGAGGAAGGCAAAACCAACACCTACTATAAGGTCTTTTAACTCCAATTGAGTAGAGTCTAGGGTTTAAGTAACAGTTCGAAAATGCTTATTTAAAATTGTTTAATCACTAATAGGCTTTTAATTACTATTAGAGTCTAGGGTTTAAGTAACACAGTCGAAAATGCTAAATTTTTTATTTTGTCTAGTCTTTTAATAGTTTAGATAGTACGGAATAAAGTATTAAGAAGTAGAGATATTAAAATAAATATATAAAGACTAAATGTATTAAAATTGTACTTGGAAGTACTGAAATACTAGTTTTTAAGAAAAGGACTAAATGAATTTTGTATAACTATAGGATTAAATAAGTATTCAAATCTTAAAAAACGTGTGTTTGCTAAGCTAGTTGAAAGTAGATAAGCTAGTTAAAACTTCTAAGTCTGGAACTAATAAGTTATAAGCTAGGAGCTGCTGATGGGTCTGAAAATGTTTCGTAACATTAGTGAATGAAGTAGATGATAAATATAACGTGATATATAGGAACATGATGAGAAATTGAGGTAAAAATAGACTGCAAATAAACTAGTGAGATAAATAAAAGTGAAAATAAGTTACGAGCTATTGAAATAAGCTGTGTACCAGGCAAGCTTATTTTGGTCAAATTAGTTATAAACTAGTCAAAATAACTTATCAGTAAATGTACATTGTGGTGCTGCTTAAGAAGCAGTTATGACTTGATTTCGATAATTTGGATGTGGGCAGGTTGTTGCTCAACAGCTGAACTTTATTGAAAGGAATTTCTCTACAGTGCCATCCCAGGATCTAGAGTCTGATGGAAGTGGCAAGTGATGTGTTCTATGGAATGTAATGTCATTTTGGCTCGGTTTTATGTGTTTTGATAAATATTTTTGCTGTTGTTTCAGGTAGGAAAGTGATCAGTGGTACTGTGTCTGTGGTGGAATTATGGCAGGCGTTCTTTGCTAACCCAGGGGAGTGGTGGGACAATAGGATGACAAAGGTGAATTGTTGTTTCAATTTTTGAATTTAGAAATGTTCCTTACTTGGTTGTTATGCTATCATCTTGTGTTATGGTATTCTGCAACTACAACTGCGATCAATTGTGTTTGCATTTTTCTGCAATATCTGGTGAAACTAGAATTGTGACTGAAATTTAAAATCTTGGTTTCAATTATTGTATGGCTATTTAATTTTCTATATGGAGTTATTTATCTCTAACATCAATATGACATCAACCATAACTTTTGAACTTGCCTTTCTATGATTTCCCCCATTTAATCATTTTGTGCAAAACTTGAGGAAAAGGTATGCTGCTTCATTCCAAGGTTGGGGCAAGTCATGTGGCTGGTACTTACAAATGATTCATCATTGAAAAATAATTGACCCTTTAGTCGGTGCTGTTCAATTGTCTATACAGTTAAGCCAACGTCATGACATACCCATTTGAAAGTGAGAGCTGACAAAAGCCTTTTATCCTACTACTAATAATAAACCTGACTCTGATGTTTCACGCTTTCGGTATTAATATGACTAATAATAATAATGTGTTAACATGACTATGACACAATTTATCAGTACCTGTTGGTTTGTTTGCCATGCCATTGAGCATTAGTTTCTTGCTCCTGGCATGAATGGAACAATCCGCAGACAATGCATGCAGCTTGCAATACAAATTTATGTTTATGGATGCTGATATGTATCAAGGCAATAATTCAATTATTATTCAAGTAAAATAATGTGAAAAATACATTATATTCATTCAAAGTTATTGCCACCTCTGCCATTTTGTATAGCCATGAATGGGATTTTTGCCCTCAAGGTGCATCCTCCATGTTCATTTTAAAGCCCATGAGAATTTCCATTCCATGTATGTTCAAATATTTTTGGAAAATTTGCAGAGGAACCCAAAAGCCCCTGATTTCAAACACAAAGATACAGGGGAAGCTCTATGGATCGAAGGCAGATACAATCCGCCATGGGTCAAGTCCCAACTGGAAATAATGGACGCAAGAATGGGGTCTAATGCTGGTCACAACGCTAGGGTGCCTGTACATATGGTCGCTGCAGATGAAATCTTGTCTTTCTAAGAGCTCATGCCAGCTGCTGCCCATGTAATACTCAATTTCAACAGTGAAACTTTGTACAGTTTTCATTTTGCCCGTAATTTTAATCTCTACGTGGCGGCACTGATAATGGTTAGTTTGTCTTTGGGCTCTATTTAGTTAGTAATCAATTAACTGTTTCGCATGCTGCATTCCTTTTCCTGTTGTCCAATATAATTTATATGCTGCGTTGGAGAAGGCACTATGATGGGGGATAAAATGGGACGATTTGGAATATGATTGCATAAAATAAAAATATGATTCTATCGTTTGATATTTAAATATTTTGTATAGAAAAGGAATAAAAGTTTCATTCAATTTTTGAAGATATGAGTTATAATTTTTTTTTAATTTTTAATTATTTAAAAAATATCCCTAGAAAGTTAATGATTAAAGTAAAATTTATAAAAATAAATAACCATTTTATAATCAAGCAGAAGGCTCACGTAAAGGGCTGTCTAGAGAAAATAATTTGCGAGAGGAAAGTTCTAAAGATGATGGAGAAAGTAAAAGAAAAATATTGATATAGTTAAGTACGTATCATAACATATTAAAAATAAATTAAACAAAAACATATTCATATTTTCATTGAATTTGAATGGAATACATAAAATTTTTTACAATAGTTTTAGATTATTTAAAGGAATGCGCGGTAGTTTTGGTTTTATTTGGCTTTGGAGAGTCAATCCTGAAGATAAGCCAAAGGAAGGACAGGATAGAACTCAAAGACAGGCCGAAGGCAAAGGATAGACGACACAAGGAAGCAAAGGAGAAAAGAAAGATTGAAATAAAATCAAGGTAATAGTGAAACGAACGGTAGATCCAACTTTGTGTGATATTTCATTTAAGGAGAAGGCCTTTCCCATACCTATACCTGATATCGTAATTTCAATGGGTTAGACTTCGAAAGAAAAAATGGTCTCAACTTATTTGATTTCCAGAATTGGAGTTCGACCACCCTTTTGTGTTTTGGAGGATCAAGTTCCTTGCAAAGTTTCACAAGCTACTAGTTCAACACATTTATCTAGTTACTTATTTATGTGAGTGCATTTCAGTTGGCCTATTGACTTATTTATTTTTGTAGATAGAAAAAGTAAATTTTTTATCAATTATTTAAAACTTTAGTTTTTCATTTTTAAATAAATAAATAAATTATTATTAATAATTTCATTAATTAACATAAAATTTAATTTTTATATAAATACTAATATATTTAATATAATTGAATAAATTTATATTTTTATTAAATAAATATTGTAAGTGATTATAATATATGTATATAGTCATTTAATTTTATGTAAAATTTATAAATAGAATAATAAATTTAATTAGTTAATGTTTAAATTAATTATTTAATTAAAATAATTTTTTATAATAAGATAAAATATGATTTTTAATTATAAATAATATTATTTATAATTACTCCATTTTAAAAAAAGTTTATACTCAGTTGAAAATTTAAGACATAAATTATAAATTTATTTTCATTTTACATTAATTTAATTCAACTCAATGATTTAGTTCACTGAAAAAATTATAATTTACCGACGTCAAAAATTCCAATATCGATATATTATTACCCAATGATTTATAGTAGTCTGTAAAATTGACATTACTGACGGAATTTTCTGATGGAAAACTGTATTATATATGAAAAATTATCTGTTAAAAATTTCGTTAGTAAAGATTGCAAAAAAATATGAATTTATTAATTTTATTAATTAGTCTCTTGGTAAATTATTTGTGATAGGTAATGGTCTTTGTTCCCCAAATTTTACACGTATTGTTTTTTCTTTCTCGCATGCCTATCTAATATTCTTGATTTTCCCATTCCTACGTAGTCAATTAAACCCTTCAAATCAAATTTTCAATGAATCAAATTAATTATAATGGAAATTCAATTTAATTAAATTAAGAATTGTGAAAATTAAGAATTAAATTACAATCAGCACCAAATCATTCAAATTAGGAAATGAACGAAATATTATCTCCAAATCAATCCCAATGTTTTTTTCATTGTGAGCAATCAAAACCACTTTTGTAGTAGAGTAATAATCCAATTTTATAATTTTTAATTAAAAAAATATTTGATTTTATTATAATTAATTTATTGATAATTTTTTCTGGTCAGTCCCTTAAGGTCTGACAAAACCAAAGGAATCTCCTTCTCTTAGGCGAGAACGGATATTTTGTCTTGTCTCCATTTTCTTCTCTCTCATTTTCATTCCTAATTTTTTTTATTTAATTTTTAGTTTCACAAACTTATTAAGGACCTATTGCAATTTTTCAGTGTATTATTCTTTTATTTAATTTATATTTTTTCTTAAATTTTCCAGTTTTATATTCTTGAATTTACTTTATTCATCCCACATAGTTTATTTGTCATTATCTACTTGTTTAGCAATCTTATTTAATTCTAGTATTCAATTTGCTTCATTTTCTATTCCAATTAAAATTTTATTTTATTTATAAATTTTCACTCACGCGCAAATTTTAATTTTGGGATCCATTGTTTTTTTAATGGTTCAATTTTTTTTTTGCTTAATTGTGTATGCAATTCTCAACTTTATTTTAGGTTTATCTTTTTTAAAAAAATTTAAATTTAATTGCTAAATTAATTTATTTTAAAGTAATTTTTATTCAACACTTTATTCTAGCAAGTTTCGAATTTAATTTAAAGCATTTTGTTTTATTTTTGTAAATTGTAGTTATTTTATTATTTTACTACAATTTAATTTTAATTCTTGTTATTTCGGTTCAATTTATTTTTTGCTCTTTTGTTTATTATCATCAACCCTTTATTTATTGTTGTTTACTGCTTTTAAAGAAAATGATGTTTAGTAATGGGTACGTTCCTATAATTGTGTTCTTGTGAGATTCAACATAGGTTAGCTATACTACATTAATTTAACAATTTGTTAATTTATTTTTTATCAGTATTTTGTATAACCAGAATGTTGTCATCATAATGGGAAGCCTGAAAATTTAAATTGGAAAAGATTAGTGGATAAATGTTTAATTGCTTCATGTATTATGACAGTTTTTCTCTTTTTGGTGGCTTCCTCTAATGTCACAAATACTATTTGCATTCATTGTTACCATTATTATTTGATGTTGTTGGCTTACTTTTCAGTGGGGGGTGTTGCAAGTCTAGGTGCAATGCTCATTAGAGGTCAATGTGTGCACTAGTGCATGTGGAATATGTTATGTGAGGTGCAAGTGTGTCCCACCTGGTACCTTTGGAAATAAGTTTGTAGAACTTGTTACACTAGCATGTGATTGTTACCCACATACAACCTTGTTGTTGAAATGTGCATGTTAAAGCCATATATGTTTTTAACTTGTCTAATTTCAGGTCCATCTAATTTGGAGGCTTCTATTGATGTTTACTTAGAGCTTTTAATTGATGGTTTGAAAAAAAAAAGTGGAATGATGCTCTAACATACAATATTTCAATGAGACAAAATTTATGATGAGGGAAGCTTTGATGTGGACAATTAGTGACTTTCTGGCCTATGGGATATTATCTAGTTGAGGTACTCATGCTAGATTGACTTGTTCACATTGCATGTGTTAGAAAAGTAGTTTTAAATCAAGAGGGGGGGTGAATTGATTTTTTGAAAGTTTTTCGCAAATCTCAGATTATCTAATTCGAAAATTAAGTTTCTAAAAATCTTTTTGAATTACCAAGCAATCAAACAATATAAGCGCAGCAACTGAAATTAAAGAGAGAAAGGTTAGGAAAGATTTCAC